AAAGGAAGAAAAGAAAACAATGGAAAAAAACAAAAAACATTTTTTGATTAAGTTGGAACAAAGCCCTTTGGAACATTAGGAGGTGTTATTATTGGGCTTTTATGCAGTACAAATCTAGAAGCACATTCCAGAAAACTGCAAAGATGTTCAAATACTCAGTTCCACTAAATAAAAATCCTTATTTAGAGTTGCCTTTCATCATTAATAGCTGGAACACTGATTAATTCTTATTTCCCATATTTGTTGATGAAAACTATTTTGTTGATGGCATTTAACAAATTGTATTTGCTTGTTTGCGATTCCCAATAAAATATGTTGTTTTTAGCATGTAAAGCTTTTTAACTTTCTGCTGGTCAAATTACTTCCCTCTCTTTGCAAAAGCTTTGCCCTTTACACTCTTTTGTTTTCTTTCAGCAAAATGACCAGAAGCTTTAAGGAGATGTTTAATCTTAATGCAATTAGTACAACAGACTAAAAACAGACCCACTTCAAAGCAAATCTCTTAGCTTGTTGGGTTGAACACATTTGTTTACACCAGGGGGAAATAAAAGAGATTTAGTTTAAATTTGACCACCACCAGCAGGCAAGGAAGGTAAAGTGTCTTTCCCAAGGACATGACAGAGACGGATGGAACAGGAATTGAACCAGCAACCCACCAATTGTGGGACAAATCCTGAAGAATGGAATTAAGCTCTGGTTGTAGATGTTCAATCTCACCTGGAGCACAGCTGCTCTGATTGGCTGATGTTCTGGGTCTTTTCCCACACAGGGGGCAGGAAGAGCATTCTGATGAAGCAGACTGGTCCCAGTATGATGTGATGCACTGGCTACAGAACCAGTGTCCACAGTTGGTAGAGACCGGATCCATCAAGACGTTGTGACAAAAAGCACAGCAGGACGGCTGCTCCTCCTCCTCACCAACGCTGCTACCCTCCCTCCATCTGTGAAGACATTTCTCCATTGAAATAATTCACTAACAATAAGGTTGATCTGTCCTACTGAAGCTGTAGAGGTTCATGAAGTTACAATGCAACAATGGTCCAACGTTGGCTTGCAACAGAACCTCAGAACATTAAGGATTTCTGGGTTGAAGTATTTCATTTCATTATATTTGGCTTTATGATTAATATTTTGTTTATTGTATTTGTCCATTTCAAAACATTTCAGGGACGTTCAGTTATTAATGATTAGGCCCAAGCAGCGACAGCACTGTGAAGGCCGATTGTAATCTCGACATTTCCTATTGGTATTTTTCCAACAAAATACACAGCCTTTTGGAGGCCTTAACATATTCAAAAACTCACCAAACTTCACCCAAAATTGTCCACCGTGTGAAATTTTTGAATTCCAGTAGAATCAAAAATGGGTGTGGCCAAACTGCTGTACTGCCCAAAGAGATCAAAAGCTGATTAAGCACTTGATTCCACTGTAGACAGACGGATAAACAGAACTCCATCTCATAAATCTCACAATGTTCAGTTCTTTTATTGGTCAAATAAAGTTGGCTCTACTAAACTTGACTTCATGATTACCCTTTGGACTTTGGTCTTCTGCTCATTTTGTAGTTTATCGTCAAGCTGTTTACAGTTGTATCTTTAGTTACTGTCCATGTTTATGAACCTCATTCCTGCATTATTTCAGTGGTCTATATCATTTTATGCTCTGTGTTCTAATTTCCATTTTGATCTGACATCTCCTGGGTTATTTGCCACCAAAGGTTCAGAGGGCTCTAGTCAGTCCATCTGATTAGTCTAAATAGCAGCTAAAACCAATGTTGAAAGTTGAATATTTTTTTCTAGGTTGTAGTACAAATGTCTTTGTACTTTTTTACATAAGACAAAACGAACTAGTAACTTTTCATTGAGATATATGAACTTGTTTTAAGTCAATCATTCTTGAATGTCGATAAAAAAGGATCATTTTCATTAGAAGAACTTTTATTTTAACTTGCTTTGGGCATTTTGGCTGTGCATCAGTTAGAAACTGGTTTCTTACTCTGAGTCTGAGGGTCCAGGTTCATTACTGAAGAAAAGCGCTTGTTCTTTGGACCAGTCACTCCTCATAGACAGACAGGTGGATCCTGGAGGTTTTGCTATCTCTCTGTGGTTCTGACCTCTGAAACTCAAACATGTTATTCAGATCACATTAACCAGTGACAAACAGTGATAAAAAACACTAAAGAAGCTCTGAACATAAACTCTGTCAGTGGGTTGAGACATTGATGTACTGATTCATATTCTTTGCTATTTCAGCTTTCAGATTAAATTAAAAATCGCACAATATGTTCATGTAAGATGCCAACCAACTAGCTAATATCATATATAGTTTATCTCTGTAGAGTCTCTGACACAGAAATATATTTCTTACTTGATGTCGGACGGGCCAGCCTCATTACTGAAGTCTGGAGGTCTTGATTTGCACCAATCATTTTTCATAAAACGATAGCTGGACCCTGAAGGTTCTGCTTTGTCTTTCTTTAACTCACAATCATCCATCATCTAATTGTCAGTCTGAGAGAGAGAAATTAGTAACAATGAGTTTTTAGTAATTACTTTGTAGTTTATCATAAAGGAAGCATATTACCACCTAAAAAATATTGTCAGAATTAGATTAATCCCAACAAGATTCTAAAAATTTAGTTTATGCCTTTGTTTTGAGCAGACTTGATTACTGCAACACTGTTTTCACTGAACTGTCAGAAAAAATTAATGACAGTTTCAGTTTCTTCAGAATGCCGCTGTGAGAATCATTAGAAAAAACAAAAAGGTGGGCATGTCAGTCCAGTTCCAAGGGTTTATAAGCTCTCACTAAAAGCCTAGTCTACATCTCTGATCTTCTCCAATGCTATAGACATTAAAACCATTAAGACCATCTGAATCAAACCCAGTAACCATTTCATGAGTCAGAACTAAATCTGCTGAAGCAGCCTTCAGTTTTTATGCTCCAGAAATCTGGAATGCTTCCATCCCGAGTTCTACTGAAATGAGTTCAAAAACTCATATTTGTTGTTGCTTACACTTACTGTTTTTAACTTTATTTTTAAAACCTTGTTTAGTTTTAATGTATTTGATATCTTTTCTTAATGTATGTTGTCTTTAACTTTATGTTTAAATGTTTTGAGTTGCCTTTGGCTGAAACATGCCATTTAAATGAAGCTGCCTTGCATAGTAACTGTAGAAAGTAAAAAAGGAAGAATGTGGATAACACTCACCTTGATTAAGATTCTTCTTTGTTCTGTTCTCTTACTAAATGGAGTCTGAACTCCTGATCTAGTTTCTGATTATAACTGACTCACCTGAGACTCCACCCCCATTTATTTACCTGTTTAAACAGGTAAATTTACAATGAATTTACCTGTTTAAACATCTTTATTGCAATTATTCTTCCCTTTGTATCAATAGTAAAGTAGAGCTATAAAACATTTAAACAGTTTTTCTGATTTTTTTGTTTTTAGCTAATTTACAGTCAATTTATATTTGCAGGAAGTATATATTTTATCTCTGTAAACCACTAACTCTCTGATTGTAAAACTTGTAGCTATGTTTGAAAACCAAACTGGATGAAGATCTCAGTCGGAGCCCCAGGTCCAGTAATTGTCTGGTTAACTTAGAAACAGGTCATATCAGACTTTGTGGATTTGGATACATTGTGACTCTGCAGGTTTAGTTCAGTCTGATTCTAGGAGATTTCTTCTATAAAGAGACACTGAGATGTTTCAGAGTGACACTGACAGCTCAACTGACATGGAAAAATGTCAGCCGAGCTGATATTCAGAAAACATGAAAGAAGTAGTGAGTGTAGTGACTGCTCTCCTTCTAGGTAAACATCCCTACTGAATATCCAAGGTCCAAAGTATCTCTGTGATACCAAGGGAGCAATTCACTTTACAGCAGGCAGTAAAAACATTAAAATAAGGGGGTTGGTTTTTACCAGCCTGGCACCTGGAGGAGGTTCCACATGTTGCTGCTGTAGAGGTGAATTCTTTTCAGATGGAGCCACAGATCCAACAGAACCAGAACCGTTCTGCAAGAAGAACAGAGAAAATCCCCCAAACAAAATCTGACAGTCTCTGAGCTGGTAAAGAAAGTGTTTCCAATGTTCACCAAAGGAGGCTGGAGAGCAGATGAAACTTCAGGTGTTTAAACCTTTCAAAGAAGCATAGAGGAATATTTGATTTAAAATCACAAAAACGTCAATCCTCCAATGGCGGAAACCATCACTTCCTCACTGAGCTGTTTGAAGCAGCAGATAAAATGACCAGAGCTGCTCAAACACCTGCAGGAAATATTTAATATATCATTTAAAGAAAATACAAAACTTCATTGGAATAAACCAAATATGCAGGATATAAACTGCTGAAATGAGCTTTATTTTTTTAATTACAGGACAAAAATGAATCAACTTTCCAGTACATCTTCACTGATCCAAAGATCAGACACAAAATGAAAGACATGAGAAAATGGACAGGATGAAAATCTTTCATCTCAGAGTTCATCAGAGTCTCTTCAGACTCAAACTGCTGCAGCTTCAACCTCTGAGGATCAGCAGGACACAGAGACGATTCTCTACTTTACAGAGATCAGTCCCATCTCCACCTGCAGAGAGAAGAAAGAATCAGAGATCAGATCAGTGAGTTTCCAGCTTCTCTCCAGCAGCAGCAGTCAGTGACGCAGCACATCCAGTAGAAAGAGCAGCAGGGCCTTCAGTTGTGTTCAGAGCAGCTTCCTCTCTGCTCTCATCTTAACGTGTTGCAGTGAACACACTGAGCTCCAATCTCTCACTCCTTGTTGTGTGAGGTGCTGACCCACTCCCATCTCACTCCTTACTCTGAGAACTAATCTAACCAGCTCTCTATCCTTCCAGCACTAAGATCTCTAAGCCTGCAGTATATTACCTTCCTCAGAAATAATAAATAACGTATTAATTTGGTTTACCAGAGAAGACTTGCCTGTATTTCTAACAGTCTACAGTCGTGTTACCCGACTGTCTTTCAATGCATTAACCAGCCTGAGCAGCCAGAAGCCTTCTTCACGTTTGATCCGTGGTGCAGGAGGAAATGACAGACTTAAACCAGAGAAACTCTGAAGCCATCTGCTGAGCTCAGAATTGATCCTGTAGCATGTATGCTACAAAATGGTTTGTTTAAAAATGACTTGGAAAAAAAGATTGCCATATGTTAGAGGATTAAACATTGTCACAGCTGAAAAAAGTATAGAGGACAGAGAGCACAGACACAATAAGTGCAGGTGACATGTCTGTTACATCCTTCAGCACAGGGGCCATAGCAGGGGCCAGCACCAGTTACAGAGGTATCGGCCCCTGTTTGCCTGTCTAGAACCAACCATGCCAGCCATCTACTGACCTTACAATTTCTACAAGATCCTTCAGCTGCTGAACATCTGACTCCTTCAGGCTGTTGTCTCTCAGCTCCAGTTCAGTCAGATGGGAGGGTTTGGACTTCAGAGCTGAGGCCAGAGAACAACAGCTGATCTCTGACAGCCCACAGTTGTTCAATCTGAGTAAAGAATAAAACATGTGAGCTGAAGCCAACAGGATGCAGGTTAACCAGTCCAACAGGACTAGTTAAAGAGCTATTAACATTAAAAGTGACAAGCTACTGTTGACTTCATCTCCAACAGCAGCTCCATCAATACAAACTCATGTTCTCCAGCCATTTTTTAAAAAATTTCATAGAAAACAATAAAAAAAAGACAAATGTTGAAGTAAATATGGATAAATTCAACTATTTAACAGTTATTCTATAGCGATAAAATCATTACATCATGGCAAATATTGATTGCATAACTAACTTTAACAGATGAGACACACAGAACCAGAACCTCATACTGTGTGTGACATGCTGTGTTTGAGTATCTTAGCCTGCAAAATGATTCAACATCAGAAGTTTTATATATTTCCTGTCAGAGGAAAACCAGGAGCTGAAATTCACTTTTTCTGCAGGTGGTGGCGCTAACCGCCACCTGGTGGCATGAACTCCTACCACCGTTACCCAGAAATAAGAAATGAATTACTTTAAAGTCATCCAGTATAAAATGGAAGAAAAAAACACACAATCATATTAAAGTTGTAAATTGATTCAAAACATTAAAATAAAAGCCCAATCAGCATTTTTCATTTCTTCTATCTTCCTCTTTCAACAGTCATTGTGCTCTTATAAGCAATTAGATAGCTGGGAATGGGAGTTATGCATGTGAACCCCACATGCATTTGTTTCGTGTTTTTTTTTTTTTAAAGAAATCACGTGAAGTTTTGAAAATGAAAAATTTTTTACCTCAACCAAACTAGACTTTACCATGAACATCCTGAGTGTGGAGCAGTTTAATATCAATGTGTCTGCCAATTAGTGTAAACCCAACTTTAATGTCATAAATATTAGCTCTAAATCAAAGCATGATGCTATACCTCAGTTTCTGCAGCTTACAAAGAAGAGTCTCTAGAAAACCACAGAGCTCCTTCACTCCAGAATCTCTCAGGTTGTTGTAGCTCAGGTCCAGTTCAGTCAGATGGGGCGGGTTGGACTTCAGAGCTGAGGCCAGAGAAGAACAGCTGATCTCTGACAAGCTGCAGTTCCTCAAACTGAATAAAGAATAAAAGATGTGAGCTGAAGCAACAGGATTAATTAAATTAATTAATTTCACTCAACATAGAAGCATAATGCACGACTAAAAACAGAGATGATTCTATATTATATTGTTAGACAGGATGCTGCATTACAAAAAACACCAATCTATCAATCTTTTTTATCAAAGAAACAAGAACTAATTCACTATAAACATCTGATTTCTTCATCCAACCATCAGAATTGATATTTAGGTGGAGGCCAACAGTTCAGAGCTCAATATTGTGTCTGTTAAAAGGTGAAGCTAATAAGACACATTCCTTTTCCAGTTTTCATCATATTTGGAGAACATTTCTGAATAAATTATGTTTATTTTCTAAAGGACTTTCCTGCTTCTGTCTTGACTCCTTTATTGTGAGCTATATTACATAATGCTCAAATAATGGAGAGGATATTTACATAAAGTCTGAAGTCATTTTAATGGTAATAAATTCCAAAATAACATTATATTTTAGTTGTGGACTGTGGACAAGTCTGCCATCAGAGAGCTGCTTTATACTCATTACTGCTCCCCTGTAAAAACAGGAGCAGCACTAGAAACACATGAGAAAAGTCGGAGTGGGATCACCGGGATTTAGCAGCGCTGCTAGCAGCTCGTTTCTCTGAAGAACGGACAGCAATAAAGGCAGAGAAACAGTGAAACTGTGGCCAGCTTTCTGACAGAACTGATGTTTTACACTGATAGTGTGAAACACTGAAACTACATTAGCTTGTGATGTGAAATGTATTTTTTTTATTTAAAATAAATAAATAAAGTTCAGGCATGGCTACTTGCTTACATCTTTTGACTTTATTATGTAAATCCAAAATGTTGCACCTTTAAAAAACAAAGTCCCAGAATGCAGAATGCAGAACTTAAAGAAGCCCTTTAAGCAAAATGTTTAGAATTAAAATTAATTACTAAAATAAGTATTAAAACGTAGGTGAAAGAGTTTAGTTCAATAGAGAAAAACAAACCTCAGGATTTTGACTTTACAGACTGAACTCTCCAGTATGTCACACAGGTGCTTTATGCCAGAGTCTGTAAAGGTCCTCACTCCAAAGATCTCCCTTATTTCCACTTCAGTCAGGTGGGAGGGATTGGACCTCAGAGCAGAGGCCACAATTTTACATTCGGCCTCCGAGAGTCTACAGCCAACAAGTCTGTGATTAGAGAACAAGTACAGTCAGTTGTACAGTAATTAAATCAGACAATCTGATGCAGATTTAATGCAGATTAAAATGTGAATGTTATGTCATCATCTGATAAACATCTGCTCTTTATATAATTTTTCCACAGACATAACACAGTGAAACTCTTCAGTTCACAGTTAAGATTACGGTTCAAATTATGGTTTAGAGTCCCAGTTGACGGAGTTTCAACTGAAATCCTAAGGGTTAGAAAAGGGGTGCAGGTTTTAATGGGGTTTTTTTCTGTTTTTTTTTTTTTTATTGTTTATTCAATGTTACATGACTGTGTTTTTGTTTTAAATGATGTAAAGC